CACTGGGAGTCAAGCTCAACTCAGAGGTCCTATCTTCATATGCTCCATTCCAATTAAAAAAAAAATACTGTGAGGAAATTTGTGGCCAGAACACATCTAGGGAGAGACACTGTAAACCTGCCCAAGATTAAACAAGCCTGTAGCATATCTCCTATATTACCATGAAATTAGGTAGTCACGCAGAACACCATTAGGGTAAAAAATCCACGATTGCCTTAATTTTATGTCAAGAAGCACAACATCTGCATGTGTTTTCTTGCCCAAAACAAACCGAAGTCATCAAAAACTGGGGATGAATGTGAGCATAAGACAATCAGGCTCCAAAATATTCTTAAGATGCTGCATTGGATACTAAGTGGATGACCTGAACACTTGCTGCATTCACATAGTCTACATGACATAGGAGACAGGTAATCAAAACTAGTGCAGCAGGTCCTCTTACCAGAACATGGGGTGATCCAAACCACTGAACTGGGGCCAGAGAGACAAATAAGCCCCCCAACGTGAATTGCTAACTGTGGATTCATGTAGTAGAGAAATCAGGAGAGGAACCCAGCCCGAAGCACTCTGGAGGGAGGCTTGTTCTATTGAAGGCAGAGAAGAGAAACGATACAAAGATCAGAGCGGTTTTTGGTGGAATCCTTCTTAACGGAACAAGTCCACCCATCAGCACTTGAGAGGAACTGGAAACTTTTACTTTTTTCCAACATCATCTGGGGGCGAAGGTTCGGAGCATTCTGATGAACATGAACTTATTTTCTGTGAGATGCAAAGCTCCCCCCTCGCCATTTAGAAGCATTGGAAATACAGGGAGTCCCCAGTTTAAGAAAGAGTTCTGTTCCCAAAGTCTGTCCTTAAATTGAATTTGCACATAAGCTGGAACAGTATTATTGTATAATACTGTATAAGTAATAAACTCAAACCATTGTGTATTTAACTCAAATCATCGTGTATTTAATTTGAATTTTGCCACAATAGGTTCCGTTCTTAACTATGGGTCATCTGTAACATTCTTAACATGGGACTCCCTCCATATGTGCATTTGTTTGTTTGTTAGACTTCCATCCCGCTTTCCCTTCAGAAGCCAAAGGTGGTGGTGGTCGAATTCCTACATCTTAAGCCAGGCTGAGAGTGACTGTCTAGAATCTCTCATCATGGCGGAGGGTCCAGCCCTGGCTTTCTTCACTCCTGTTCCAACATCTTAACCACCACATCGCCTGCTTGGGGTTGAACCAAATGGGAGGAAAAACATGAAACACCGAGAATTCCAAATTCCCCTTCAGCATGAGATTCTTAAAAGAGCTTAGAGTTTGTTCAATGGTGGCTCCAGTACCTTTCTCCAAAAGGGAAGAAAGGGAGCTTGTGTGCTGGGACAGAAGCACGGTCCTTGGGATGGTGAAAAGCACTTCTCCAGCCCCCAGATTCTCTCTGGCCATCAGACCATAATCAGCCACCGTGCCTTCGCAGCTCACGCAGACCTGCAACCGAGGAGAAAAGCATTCACACCGGAAACCAGCGATGCCTGCCTTTCCAGCTCCAGAAATCAAGCTCAGCTCAGCTACACCTCGTTAGCTAGAGGCATCTGGATGCATTGTATGTTCTTTCTTCTGTAGTCGCTGCTACCTTCCCTCTCTTTCAGAGAAGCTCATGACTCACTGTTATACTTCATTAACCCCAAAAGAGGAATGCCCTGAATTTGAGCTAATCCATCCCTTCCAAAAGGGAAGTACAGTGAAAAAGAAAAAGAGGATTGCAGGTAAACGCAAAGCCCACCTGAGCTATACCACCATGAGGAGGATACAGAGCTGGTCCAACCACCACACCCAACCCGGACACCCGAGAGGCCGCGAGGGTCCTGCTCTGGGCCGCGTGCTGGTCAACGTGCGTAAGTGTAAACGCGCTCGCAGGAGTGTTTATAAAGCACTCGGACGAAGGATCAGAGAACAGCGCCATAAAATATGCGGACCACACGAGCGAACGGAGGACGCTGCTGCAGAGGCCCTTACGGGGCGTCTTGAGAAGCTGGACACAAAGCAGAAACCAACAAGATGGATCTAAACAGAGACCCAAACAAGCCCTACATTTGGGTGGGAAAATGAAAGGCAGCAGGAGAGATGGGGGGGAGGCCTCGCGTGTCAAGCCGGCAGATGGGGTCCGAGGGGGGCGCCGGGCGCGGCCTTCCGCTCGGGCT